TACCAGCGCATCAATCTCGTTTTATCATCTAATACTTCGTCCCACTGTTTACCAAGCATTCTAACCCTATCAAAAGCTAAAATGATTCCACTATCAATACAACCCGTATGAAATAACTATCCATCATAATCACGTGCAATCTATATATACGTATATACGTATAAAATCGCCAAAAAAGCACAACGTGACCAGTAAAACAATATCTCTATCGTTAAACGTTGTTCCATCAAACTGAAGCATCCGTCGCACCAGGTAATACTATTTACGAGGCTATTTGATTGCAATCGATCGTAAACGGAACTATGACCAAGCCGTTTGCTTTCTATCACGAGAAAGGAAAAAAGAAAGAAAGAGAAAAAGAAGCACAGAGAGAAAATACAAGAAGAGAAACAATCGACTTCGCGAAAAGAGAAGGAATGACGCGTTTCGCGGAAGAATACAACGTGGAGGAGGTCGAGGAATCGGGCATGACAGATAGATACAGAAGGAATAGAAAAGAGAGTCGGCTGTGTGCTTGGATCGTTCCTTTGTGTTCGTGCAAGTGGACGATTCGTTGACCCGCGGCTGCAATTCCTCCTCCGGCTTTTATGTCAGCTCAATTGGCTGGCAAAAGTTGTCGACGCACCAGAAACAGCGCGTCCTTGCTGCACTATTCTGGCTTTCTTTTTATTTCGTAGGTTATATCGATAAAGATGGCCGCCGCTTATGCGGGAATAGTTCCTGCGCGGTTGTGGTAGGTCGGGATAGAGGTAAACGTGGATTTTGATCGTTCGATAAGTGTTCCAGATTATTTCTCGATCGATAGTGGATAGTGAATTGTGGATTTAATTTTGTAACTCGAGAACCAAACGGAGGATTTAGAAGTTAGTACAAGTTACTATACTAGGATTTAGAAGTTATTATTCTCTGAAGATGATTTACGAATTTCAAGGATCTCTTTATTGTTTAAACTTTCACTTGACGAATCAATCAAACAAATCAAATATTTAATATTAATTAATTAAATAATAATTTAATTTATTTATTGATTGAAAGTTTAAACGATAAAGAGATTTTTGAACTACGTAAGTTATTTTCATAAGAGAAAGTGATATTGATTGGCTTTTAAATTCTTTATATGTGGATCAGGATAATTAAAATTGAGAAAAAGAAGAAGAAGAAATAGTTCTATATGTTATTTTTTAGTGATTTAAAATAGAAATAAATTATTTCATAAGTTATTATTTTAAATTATTTTCCGATCGATAGTAGATAATATAGTATAGATAGAATAATATCTAAATTCGTACATTAAAAGCCAAACTATCATGATAAGAGATAAGATTCGAAAACAGACTTGGTATTGTTTTAATAAATGAAATGTACTGCAATTTTGGAAAAAATAATAAATATTATCCTGGATTAATATATAATAAAATCTGGATAATAAAATCAGAATTTACTAGCCTCATTTAATTCCATTTAATATCTAATCCAATTTAATATTTTATTTAATTTGATAAATTAAAGATAGTATTAAAATATCTTTAAAACTATGAAATATTACATATAATCATGGAATCAAGAAGTATTATGGGATATTTAATGTTAGAAAATATACTTGGAAATTTAAGTAGTGGATGAAGATAAAGAATAACAAGAACTTAATATTATTTTTACAATCGAAAATTAAAGGACTTCAGGCTTAATATTTTTGAAAATTAAAAAGAATAAAAAATTTTTTAGAATAAAATGCCACATTAAAAAGAAAATGATTTGCTACTTGACTCTGAATCTGGGATACAGAAATACTGACTTTTTATTTTATATTTTCAAAATGACGCATCGATTGTGTAAGAGGAAAATTACATTGCAAAATTATGATTGAATGTAGAGTTTTACATTATATTTGTACATTATACTTTACTGTGTTGTACATTACATTTTACTATTTTAGAAATCAATGCTTTAAACTTATTAAGTTTTATATTTATAAGATGTTTATAAGACTTGATTTTTGTTTAAATTTAAACTTATATGAAACAATTTTAACACTTAATTACGAAGCAAAATAATATACATTTTTAAAAAAAGCATGTTACGTGAATTTAAAAAAAAAATGTAAACATAACTACATATATGAAAAATATTTAGTATATTTTTGAAGCAAATATAGCGAGCATATATGTTTGTGTCACGTACGTGTCAATGTTGGTTTCGTTGATGGACATTTCAAACTGTAAAGTAAACCTCAATTTGGTAGTCTATCATTGATGACATTTTCAAAAATTATTAACTGTCGATAAATGTCACGAAAAATAATAAAAAAAATCTAAATTACTCAACAATTTTAAACGATTTATTCAAAATTCAAATGATTTTAAAACTGGATGCATAGTTATATTAGAATTAAATACAAGTTATTCTAAAAATTAGATGTAATTAGTCATAAATAATTATTCTGAACATCAACTCTAAATATTAAATATAAATATAATAATATTGAAGTAAAATAAATATAAATATTAAATTACTTCACTATTTATTATAAATCCAATAAATTTTCACAGAAAAAAAAATTTATAATAACCACAGATAATACATTCTATACATCAAATATATTGTACACACATCTCGGAATTTTATTTTATCAGATATTAGTCATCTTACTCGGAAACGATAATTATATAAGAGAAAAATAGAGAAAAAAAGATTGATGAAAGATACAATCTGTTTAGTTCATTATTATCTATAATTAATTAATAACGTAATACATATAACGTATATACGACTAATAAAAACACACAAACATTATTATTATTAAAAAATTTCTGACAAAGCAAACCTCAGATGTTGATCCGGAGGATTAGTAATTCTTACGTAGCAGATCCAAGTCACGGCACACGAATGAAACCACAAAGAGAGCAGACACAATAAAAACAGGCATCGTGAGTCATCAACACAGCGTGTCAATGTTCTTGCATCAACCAAACTCTTGTTGCGAGTACGTGTTGACGATTCAAAGAGTATAACTGAACTGAGCTCGCTCGATCGTAATCTCGTTGCAATAATAATCCGTGGCTTCCTTCGCTCAAGGATAATGATGATTTATCAACGAGCACATTCTGCTGCGTATTTTCAAACAATTGTTAAATAAGTTAAGTAAGCCGAGTTTCCACGAAAAAACCTCGATGAAACTCGGACTAAAATCTCGTAGGTATTCCCCAATCGATCGAATTTAACTAGAGTATCGTACGTGCGAAAAGCACGTGCAAACTTTTCCCACCGATAAACAACGTCAATCGAGATAGCAAGCTGTACCCACTGCAAACAATAGTACGGAGAAATCGAGCATGCCTGTCGATATTCTTTGTAAAGTGGTTTATGATCTATAAAGAACGAGAGTTCAATTTGGATCCCATTAAAAAAAGAAGAAAAAAAAAGAAAAAAATACGAAGAAAGAAGAAAGAAACGACGAAATCTAAGAAACGGTGCGTAATCAATAAACCTGTAGAGACAAACTTCTGTCGGAGGAAATTACCGAAAGAAAAGCCACTAGAATGGAGTGATGTCGTAGTCTGCAATAAAAGAAAATTGACGGTTCTCGTTGAACTCGATCCAGATAACTATAAAACGAGATCGCCAAATAAGATAAGATACTATACTTTCTCGCTGACAATCGAGACGAAAATGCACAGCACACCGTGGACCTGGGTCACGGTGTCCCGGTCACGTTACTTCGCATCGTCGCGATTAACATTGTTGCTCGAAACTCCGGCGACGAAGTTTCATGGGACTTAGAAATTCTCTGGCCGATGCACAAACTCGTTCGTAACGAGTTCAGCTTGAAACTCCGCCGAGCACAACGACGTACCTCTCTGTTATATCTAGATTCCTGCCGACTAACGGGCCGATCCACCGTGGATTCCTCTTTGAGTTGCACACACTCTTTCAGCCTTTCACGTTCCAAACACTGGCAACTAAACGTATATTGGCTGTTCTTCTAGCCTAAAGATATGCCAGCAACCGGCGCGAGCACAAAAATAGAATACCGATGTTCGATGTCAGCGTCCACGTCACGATTGTTTGAAACATTCCATGAAGATTTTCCCGCCCGAGACGATCGACATCGAACGATTCATATGGTTCGACAAACACAGGAGACGTGAGTTGCGTGTCGACCGAGTTCACTCGCGATACTAACTCGTGCCTCACCGCCACTTTTGCACGCTGGAGAACGTGCACTCTCTTGTATACCGGTTAACGATACTCCGTGCCGTTATCCCTCCTTTTCTGCTCGACTATTCCTCCGTATTCGTTGTCGCGTACACGAGCTCGGTCTTTGTTCCTCAAACAGCGGCTACGTTGTTCTTTGTCTATTACTCTCGAGCCCGTTTCATGGTTCTTGTGTATTTTGAACGGATAATATAAGCGGGATCACCAACACGTGAGTTGCATTTTTGGTTGCGGTAGGGAAATGTATTTTTATCAAGGTTAGTTTTGATACGAGTCGAAAATATTGAGATATATATTTCGATGAAACAGACGAAGTTAATGGGAAAATGATATTGCGCAATTGTTACATGGAATTGCCTGATAATAATGAGTACATAATTACAGTTGATTACAAAAGTACACTTTACACACATTACAGCTAATAAAATGTATTATTAAAACCAATGAAAAAATCCATTTTTAATGGAACTTTATAAATGTTAGATAGAGCATAATAAATTACTTAATAATTTTTTTTTTTAAATAAAATATCAGCTTGAGCATACTTTTATTAACTGACTATATTTAGATTGAACTCTTTTTTGATAAAAGTGTTTGCATTAATAATCATTTCATCAAGTTCAAAATATTATATTATAATTAATAGATATGTTCTATTAGAAAGATTAGAAAATTTTTTGTTATTACAATATTAATAAAGTAAAGTATTATTAAAGTATTAAAATATATCGTAATAATAAACGTAATATAAAATATGAAATAAAATGGAAATAAACAATAACTACCTTTATGTGAAATACTTTCACTTGTATTAGTACATCGTGTAATGAGGATTGCATAGCTGGAGGCACCGCGATACGTAGTACCACGAAGTACGTAGATTACATCTAAAAAAAGAAACACATTCGCAGTTACAAAATTGATATAAATTTGTATGACAATTTCGAGACGATAAAAATAAAAGAAAGAATCTACATTATAAAAATAATTTAAATTTTTATTAAATTCACGCTTCGTTATGAATCCAATCCATTACGTGTAAGCTTTATATACTCAATCATTACCATATATAATCATTTCTTTGTTTCTCTAGTTAATTAAGACAGTGGTATATTTCGAATCTCCGTACGCTTTCACCGTAATTCATACGTTCGAACCATGAAATAATGCATTAAAGGGAAGTTCGCCACTACATTGAAAAACGGAGGAGTCGGAGTTATCTCGTAAAAATAACTCGTTAAAAATTCCGCTTTGTTCGAGATACGGTCTATTTTAATTACACAACCGCCGGACGAAGGAACTTTTCAAAAATCGCATGGATGATGCGCGAGTGCAATTTAAGCCGGTCTCGTGATGAAATAGAGTCCGAGAAACTTATAGCCACGGAGACAAGGACGAATAATATCTAGCCTATATAATTCGGAACTACTTTATCCTCGAGTGGTGATAGAACAAACTCAGCGTTTCACCAAATGAAAAAGATGCTTCATCCAACGAGATTTGTGCATCTTGCATCTTTCGCCCGAAGAAATTAATGACGTCTTCCATGGTCCTCGAGATTTTCCTGGTTTTCATTCGCCCTTTGATTCACCACTCGCATTGAATTAATTCTAGAGTGATCCAGACACTGTTGTTTTCATCGCCATTGTATTTGTCGTTACAACTGCATCTGAGAAATTTGTCGATTGGACGAATGCGGCTATTATGTACCTGGTAGTTTTCAATGCAGTTCCTCTTGTTATTCTTCCGAAGAATATTATCATCTCTTTCATTCATTTTTATCTTTCATTTTCTATATTTATCGAATATCAACTGCATGATATTTCTCTTACGTATACAATTTTATAATGATTAAATATTAAATATTGTTCAACTGGAAATTCTACAATATTCTGCAATAGAGTGAAAATATTAGAGTGAAATATCTTTCTCTTAAAATTTTTAAAAAAGATATTCTCTGAAACGACGAGAGACATTTATATATTGTTTCCAATTTAAACGTAAAAATATGTCGCTATATTTTATTTAACGCGAGAGTTGATCTAGTGATACGATGCGTGGAAACAGGAACCCAAATACAATTTATTTTTCATAATGTTTCTTCCATGATAAAAAGTTCATACGATTAATCCTGACTAGTCCTGACATGTACAGGAAAATACACAATAGTAAAATTTATATATCAAATATAATCGTTTTAATTAATAAAATAAAATACTGTAATTACAAATATATTTTTAATGTATACATAATAAATTTTTCAATGCACTTGAAAATTTCACGTTTCCAAAAACAAGAGATCATTTATCTTTACGACGAGCACCTTTATACAGATCAATTAATAAAGGCCTTGAATTGTTACACATTACACATCTTTATTCATAAAGATATAGAATATAATATGGATACGAAGTTAACAAATTGCAACCTCGAAATGCGAATAGTGAAGGCAAACTTGTCGATTAAAACGAAACTAGTCGATCTAAGCTCACGTGGTACGAAACGTGTCATATAAAATTATGTAATTGAATATCAATAATACGATTTCTCTCTAAAACAAAGATATTTCTTGGAACGCAACCTTTTTACATAATCATATACATATATATATAATTATTTATATTGATTTTATATGAAAGAAATGTTATACTACTTGTTGATATCTGCGTTACTTTCACAAACTTTTTATCATCGGAATATTGATTTCGATCAACTGATAAATTGAAATATATTTTCAGTATGGAATAATACTATAATCTGTAGAGCAATAAAACTAATAACACAGTCACGAAACAAAAATTTTTAATCTAATTTTCAAGCTAAATATAAATTTTCGAGTAAACCGCGTCATCCGCACATAGAATTAACCTGGCTACTAGCCAGACGATTGGTGAAAATTATATCGAGCAAACACAGAAGTAATTTGCCGCAAAAAAATATAATTTCGTACAGAAATTTAGTTTTTGATACTAGAGCTATAACATCTCAATGCTTTTAATAACATATATTTTTGTATTAATTGCAATACATTAACTTTATATTCTTCTAGATCAAGATTAATTACTACCAATAGTATCCATGATGTAATATCATCGAACATCCGTAAAAAAATTTTTGAACATCGCATTTACATTCAGTTCTGCATTTGAAGTGCTTTTATATTAAAAAATACACGAAATTTTCAAATTGTAACAATTTACCACTCTCGCTACAGAGAGCAGGCGTGATTTCTATGTGGCATGGAAATATACATTTCGACATAGGAATTATCACAGTAAATCAGCGACCCCCAACGAATAAAATTGGAACTCTGCTAATTTATCGTCATATATTGACAGTTTCGTGACGTTGTAATGATATATATATATATATATAATGCGATGTAAATTCACGTTTGCGATATTCGATCAGAAAAAAAATAATTTATGCAAAAAAATTAATATGCGTTATAAATATTCGTGATAGTATAACATCATCGTTGAATTAAAATGCCAATTGAGAATCTATCAGTTTCGATTTATGAAAAGGATTCATTTTACCGAATAACAATGTGAATTCTTCGAAAGAGGTCGATGTGAAAAATTAAACATGAACCAGCCAGACGCATTTATTGATTCACTTTTCTATCTGCTCACTAGTATCTACATCCGTAATATACTTTATATATATTTTACTTTCATACGACTATGCGAATTATTTCGACGAAGATTATCAATACATCAGAAAAGTTATTGACTATATACAGAAACGATGCATGCTCTGTCTGATACACAACCGTGAAAACAAAACATGAATGTTTTGTCAACTTGTGTTTGACGGATTGAATCAATAATGAAGCGCGGTCAATATTTCACGATAACAAGCGAACAGATTATTTCTGAAATGTTCCTGACAAATTATTCGATACATGGAAATATTTTCCCATGGTATTGAGTATATTATGCATGGATAGATAACGTTTTTAAGCAAAGTAAGCAGCGGTTATGTACAACGTTTGCAGGAACGGCACATGCCTCGGGACTGCATGAGACTGCTACTCAAGTTTATACATCGGTGGTGCCATCCATTGACATGTAGTCTCATTACGTATTTCTGCTTGGATAGTTTGCAAGAGTTAGCGTTACCAGCCGCGCAAGTGACGGCTTCAAAGTTTACGTATAATAGAGTAACGAGATTTCTACATTTAAAGATGCTGTTATCTCAAGTATAACCCAATTCGAAAATATAACATTATAAATATATAGACAATATATATAGACAAAATTGAACTTTTTTTTATATTTACTTAATTTTTATTTTACGATTTATCATTCATGCATACAAATTTAAGATATATTTAATATCCATTTTATGGACACATATGCATATGTAGTTTCTAAAAATTAATACAAAGATGAATATAAAGTTAGATTTCTTGCCGAAACTTACATTCCATCGATATCATTTCCATATTTGTCAGGCAAAAATCCAAAAATCTTGTAGGCAAATTTTCAAATCCGTACGACACCAATAATGTACGGCATATCACCAGTTTAACTGGATCGAGGCCAAATTGTTTTGTGGTCTACTTCAAAGTTTATGCGCATCTACTTCAAACTGTATACTTTTTCAGTGCATCTAATCACGGTCATGCATTAGGATTTATATTTTTCTACAGAATGTAAAATATTCTCTATATTAAAGTATGAAATATTCTAATAAAAAAGAACTATAATATAAGCCATAAAATATAAGCTAATATAGCTACCTAAATTTTTGATTTAATACAAATGCTTATAATATTATCTATGATATTATTATTTAAAGACATTATAAAAATATAAAATAGAACACTAAATATTGAATAATAAAGTATATCAAGATAAAATCAAATCATTGAATAAATAAGAATATATAAAAAATATTTTCGTTTCGAATAAATAAGAAAATAAAAATTTTAAGTTTTATTTACCATTTCTTAATACTATATGTACAATATTCGCGTTGCATACGAAATTCTATCGCCGCTTTAAAAGAAAGTTAAACAATTATCAAAAATAATCCTCCACACGCGCCACACACCGTTGTAATATGCAATTTTATAATAATAATAAATGCAACAATCATAATTACGAAAAAAATTGGTCCGCATTACAGAGAAATTGACAACATGAATTCGTGTATCGTAACGAGCTACAATTGCACAAACGTGGGTAAGCACGTAGATAAAAATATATACCCGTAAACGAAAAATAGAGAGAATGAGAGAAAAAATGCGAAAAAAGAACGAAAGTAGGATGAACAAGGAACGAAAGAACGTCGCACGTTTCATCAGTGGCTACACAGCTGCTGCATATGAAACATAGTTCATCCAAACCGTCCACGTGACGCGTGTGAATAAAAAAGAATCATATCTCGATATAGACGGTCACCGGGATTGTTTCCATGAGAAAAATCGCTATCGATTTCCTAAATGTTCGCTGAACACTTCACGTTTCATCTACAAAGATGCTAATTAAACCAATTGAATTATCTATACATGACAGAGAAAATTTAACTCACGACTCGGTACGTTGCCAATCGTTTTATACACATTGAACGTAGATATTCGGCTATTTACATCGATCCATCACGAAAATTCACGAATAGATAGAGGTTATGACGCACTACGCGATTCAATCGGAAGAAGAACACGTATTGCTGGTGGCATGGTTGCATCATTCTTAACGAAAGTTGGAAAGCAGGATGCGAGATAAAATCAATGTACCGAATTTCGATAAATTTCGCGTTATTAATCATCAAGGGACGATGAAAAGTTTCTCGACGTAATCCGCGTGCCGTTCAAATGGAGGCAGGACTGTAGTCCAATTTCTGTCTTTCGCCGTGCTCCTCCGTGTTTTCCGTCTCTAGGCAACCGAGGCTCGTAATCATTCGTGTGTGTACGTATATGTTTCTCTACACATCGATACTTTCTGCTCATTGGTGCGAGTGCACACGCGCTTGATGTATATATACCGACACATATACAGAGAAATAGCATCGATTGCCTTTTAGGCAACGAGCGCATGGACCTATATTATCTGCTCACCAATCCCGACCGACTCGTGCACGCTTGATGATATGTTCCATTAACGCTTAATTTGATTGTAAAATCGGAACATCGGGCAGAACAGCTAAAAACGTTCGATTAGTTACGAGACGCAGCAGACCGATTAGGATATTGCATCCTCTCTTAAACGTTCAACTAGAAACGAAGAAGGATTTCGATCGAAATGATGATTAAATTAATTGTGAATCAAAGTTTCTTGAAATGTTTCGTAATTTTTTTTATAATAGAATTTATATTGGATATATATAAAATGTATGAAATAATATGAAACTCGGATAATATTAAAAATCATACTTTTAATAATAAATTAAAAATATTTTTTTTCAAAATAATACTTAAAATATTAAAAGTTTATGAATATTCAATTTTTTTCTTTTTAACAGAATATCATAGTTCTTAATGTTTGAGTTTCAATTACTGCAATGTTGTTTTTTTAACGAATTTTATCTATAAAATTTATATCAAGCTATTACTTTTTCTCTGCTGAATTTAGTGAAATGTAAATGTTCGGATCTTTTATTAGTTCGAACAACTGATGGTTTTGTATTGGAATTTTATTAAATTCCAATCACTAAACTTTAAAAATCTGAAATGTTTAACGATATTTTGTATTTCATTTTATTCGTTACGGAAGATAGTGCTATTTATTTAATATAGATTTGCTGAAAAAGAATCATCAATTTTTTTTTAAGTATACAAATCATACAGTGTATTTATTAATTTTTTCAAGAGAAAAAGTGTTAAAAAATTTAAAAATAGATATATGTTATAAAATTAAACAAAAAGAAAAAAATTCAAATTAATGGTTGTACGTAATTTTTATTTATTATTATTTTATTTAAATAATAACGATTGTATATGTATATATTATGATATGCTACTAGATAGCAATTACCGAATCGTTTTAATTGTGTTATCTATTGAACAAGAAACTTTGAATACTGTTTATTCATCCATTCATTGCCGTTTCAAACGCATTCCACATATTGCACGATCGTTTATTACGAATGCAAACATGTAATTTACTGATAATTATTTCCAATAAGAAACACTAATCTCGATCAGTTGATATTATTCAGTATAACAAAGTGTAACAAAAATAGAACAGAAGAAATTTCTATTTTTTATATTTATGAATAAGTTTCTAAAATTTTATTTTTTATCGTTCAATATTTTAATACAATTTTTGCAATTTTAGAAAGATACTTTCTTCATTTTTTAATTTACTTTATTTATTTAATAATTCATTTATTAAATAAAGATAAAATAGCTAAATTATATTTATTTTTAGTATATTAATATACACATTATAGTATACACATAGTATACACAATCTTATTCTTTTTTATTTTTTTATCAACATAATCTTTCATTACTAAAACTAATCCTTATCTATATAATTCCACAAACTAGAATAGCATACGTATAATCTTACATAACTTATACCATGAATATATACTGATTAAAATAAAAGATAAAATATCTTTAGTTTCATCAAACTAAATACGTCACAATATTTATCTCTATCTTATCTAATGATAAATAAACATTTTTACAGAATTAAAGATATAAAAATTCTTATTTCATTATATTTTACTGCAATTCGATTACAAATTAAAAGGAAAATAATTAAAATCCCAGACAAAATCTCTAATTATCTAATAAATTACTTTAAAGCGAAATATATTTTATTCTACTGTTAACTTCGATTTTTTTAACAAGATGAATTTTGAAAAAATCTATAATTGTTAAAAATCTAGAATTATCTAAAACAACCACGAATTTATTCATAAAATACCCTCCATTCGATCTATCTATATAAAAATTCAATGCGTAATGAGTACGAGGAGTAATTCTTTTTTACCTCTTCTCCTTAAAAAAAAAAACAAAAAAAAAACGAAAAAAATATTAATCCATTTGTAGGACAAGACCAAACAAATTTTATTCAATGCCAGTTCAGAATATACAATTAAAAAAAAAAAAAAAGAAGAAGAGCCGAAACGTTTAAGCCTCTCGTGTAAGTAAAATCGTGACGCGCCAGAGCGTGCCCTTTCGAACGGGATATCGGATTTCGGATTTGAAAGAATAAACGGATTAGCCGGTTGTGAATATCGCATCTTCGAGGATTAATAGGAACGAAGTTAGACGAGAGGGCCGTGTTGCACTGCCATGATGATTGTATTGCATGCGAAACTGGTAATTGAATTATTTCATCAGCATTATTGCCGTTGATGCGGAAACAAATGTAGTAATAATGTGGCAGCACGATTCAATCAGCTATCGTTTGATAAAACAATATTTATTAGCCGACGCGTTCCAATCGCTTTGACCGTTGATGTTCATGGGGGGATTCGTTAAAGGGGTTTTCGATTTTAACGAAAGGAATGACCATCCGGAAAAATTGCTCCTCGAAATTACCCCTTATCCCGTTCTACTGATCTGTAAAGCTGCAGTTAATTTGTGCACAGAATATTTGATCCGTTTTATGGTGAATTTTCATGAGCGGTCATTGAGAATAATGTTATATCGTACTGAATAAAGTAGGGATTTAAAAAACAAGGTTAAGTGGTATTGAGAGATTGAAGAAATTACTTTCTTTTTTTTCCCCCTCTCTTTCTTCTTGTAAGCGTTCCTTTGCCCCGGCTTTAAAAGAAATGGTTGATTTCCTGTGGAAAATCAAACAATGTGAGATAGTTTTTAAAGAAGCATGAATATTTCATATTCTTCTTACATATGGTATTATTTACATATTTATTAATATTTGGAAATAATTTGTAAAGTTGTGGATGTAAGTAGTAAGATGAAAAATAATTTATTTGAAACGAGGTCGTAATGTGAAAAAATTTATAATGAAAAGAAAAAAAATATATCGTTAAGAATTTTCTTCGATATAAAGATAAGATTAGAATGGATTAAGGAAGAAATGAAATGACGGTATGATGGTATGATATAAAATGAAACGATATTGTGGTCATATCATTATTATTATCATAAATATTCTTTCGTATCGTGACAAGCTGAGGAACATAATGAGCATCGATACCAAAAAATTGGCAAAAATTCGACTAGCATCATTTCTATTACACAAAGAATCGTGAAACTATGCTGCGGACACGCGAAATATCTCTGACACTTTACATTTATTTTTTTTTTATATAGATCCGTTCGAAAATATTAATTACACCACTCTTACTCGAGTTCTCTCT